TTCCACTCGTCGACAACGCTACCACAGCTCTCTGGCAATTGGCCCGCGTCTTCCACTGTGCGTTTTCTAAAAAAAGGAAAGACAAAAAGAAGAAAGAAAAAGTAAAAAAGACAAAAAAATTTTAATTTAAAAAATTAAAAGAATTAAAATCTTAAATTATTCTACACAATAAAAATTGTTGTGTTAAAAACAGACTACTAAAATTTTATATTACCTTAACACAAGGAATGTGTTAAAAAATATACAAATATAATATTTAATGTATATTGAGGTGATTGATATAAGGTGAATGTGTTAATTCAACATTATATTTATATACTTTTTAACACATTCTCCATGTTAAAATAACATAAAATTTCAATGGGCCATTATTCAAATATAACTTTTGATTGTGAACCTATGATAGCATATTATCCAGTATATACTTTAGCGTAGTATACGTTTTAAAAAATTAATAATGTATTTTAAAAAAGTTATTAATATACTTTAAAAAAATTTAAATCGCATTATCGTAAAATCGATACTCGATATTCGGAGACTTATTGATAAGGGAACCGGCTTCCATTATGTGTTTGATGACCGATAAAATTCTCGTGCAGATAACGCTTTGAATAAGTGGCTGACGTTACATTCGTCGACTTGAGGAGTAGGCTTCCGTATATGTAAAAAGATAATTCAGAGTTTCGCAAATTTTGTTGCACAAACTGCAAACGAGTGAAGTCAGATAAATATCAAGTAGGATCAATAATCTGACATAAGAATTCTACTATCGAAGCTCGATCTATTACATATAACTGCATTATACGAGTAATTCCAATAATTCGCTACCTCCGGTAGCAAGTTAAGATATGAGTCATATCTGAATCAGACGATAGATACTACCGATAATGCATCGAAACCGATAAAGATTTGACAGTTAAAGCATCAATCGAAATTTGTAGCCAGTTTCACACAAACGTGAACTCAAAGACGCGTCAAAATCTTGCTAAAAGAATCAGCGCTGCCGATTCGCCATGTGAAAAACTTTGAAATTGAACACGTTCAATTCCATTGAGTGTTGCCTCGATATATCTTTTTCTATAATAGATAGTGAGTTTTTAGGTCAGCCAGTTGCTTGATTCAGTCAAGTGTCATCCAAGGCAGCGGGACACGTTACTTGGACGTTATGGTTGAACTTTTAAGCCGATTTCACGTCGGGTTTCTTCGCTCTAATACTCTCAGCACGTGACCGAGCATGCGATCGGTTATTGGCGAGTAATAGATAGCCCAGTGTGTCGAAGGTATCGAAGCGTGTGATCGAATCTTCACGATGATGAAATGTCGCGGTCCCTACCTACGACAATAGCCACCTTGCAGGATCGCAAAGACAATGCTTTCACGGAAATCGCAATAAAATGTCTACGGTAAAGGGTATCGATTTATGAAATGGCTGGTGGGCTGGTCGCAATCGACCAGCAAGAATCGATCGCCATTGATCGGATTTATTATTCTATTATTATCCTGGTCACGGAATATCGAACGTTCTCTGCGAACAGCAGAGCTGTTTGTGAGCTCATCGAAGAATTTCTCGGAACGTCACGTTAGAATGGTTTAGTTCATGGGATAATAATTATTTATTATAACCGAGCTGCTCTTAACCGAAGTAACTGCCAAGTTTCACTACTTTCGCTTTGAATGTTAACGTCTCCGATATTGCATATTATTGTACAGCCGATACGCTGTTGAACATCTCTCGATATTTCATGAAGAACCGCCGTCTCTCTTTTTTCCTTCTCTTTCTCATCTCAAGACTGCTTAAATACTTTTAAAATGGAATTTTATTATTATCTCTTTACCTCAAAGGGGTAACCGCTGCCTGATTAGCTCACACTTACGCACGAGGAAAAATAATTTTACTAGCACAACCAATTTTTAATTATTATAAGGATAGCAAAACGATTTCTTATACAAGAAAGATAATTTTGCTGTTATAGCAAACGTTGTGACAGTGATAAAATTTAGTTGGAATAATCAAAATAACTTGCTATATAGCATAAGCAATTAATACCCTTAACACATCTTTTTGCTACCTAAATAAATCTGTTTACTATCCAGATAAATTTTTTTGCTATCCCTGAGTAATTAACAATTTGCTGTGCCAGCAAAATATTTTTATCTGTGCAGAAAAGAAATACTGTTATATCAATAAAATTAGTTAATAGCATCGTATAATTGCAATCAATTTTTCTTGTTTCAATAATAATATTATTGAAACTAGTATATCATACACTGTGTTTAGCAACTCGGGTATTAGTTTTAATAATATTACTTTCGAATCAAAATATTTACTTCAAAATTATAATACTGTCCACAAGGAGAAATATAATTTAAGAGAAGAGCAAATTTTATGTTGTCATAATAAATAAATGAATATACATGGTATTTTTAAATACTATACAATATTTTAGCAGGTGATTTTTGAGATAATTTTATAAAAAAAAAGTTCATATGAATTTATGTTCATTTTTTCACTCTAAAATGATCTCAAGAATCATTCCTAAAATATTGGACAATACTTAAAAATCCCTTGCAAAACATATATTTATTTGCTACAGTATATAAAATTTGCTATCCTTCTGTAAATTTTCGTGTCTTCTTTGTGCGTGAATTCTATTGATATAACAGCATTATTTTCCATGTGTATATTCACAATATTTTTAAATATTTTCTGTAAATATATATCCCTTATTTTATTTATTGTTAACTGTTATTCAGCTTTGAAAGAAATTTTCTCGTAGCGCATAATTAATCTATCTCCCAAGAAAACCTTCCTTTATCTCTCGAAAAACCATCATCACATTTTTGTTACCCCTAACCGATTCAGTTTGATAAACTAGGACTTTCTAAAAGATTAGTGATGCGAAAAATAGCCTATTAAACGTGGAGTCACTTCAGATGTGCGCTCAACAATCTCATGTTTCTTAACGCGATAAACGCATGTTTGTAGTTGCGCGCGCATTTTTTTTAGCTTCTAGTAATGATCTATTACCGTGAGCGTCAACTTTTGCGTGTAAACCGTTGTTACGGTACATGTATTTACTTACAATCTCTCTCGCGAAATTCCACTAACGATCGTTATAATTACATGCGCGGACTCCCGCGCACTTGCAGACGATTAATAGACGCATCTTTGACACAATTCCTACTATTTTGTTGCACGCCGTCGTAATTAATGCACGCATATACAGCGTGCATAAATTCTGCACAGCGGGAAAGTTGTTTAACAAGAATAACGGGGAATATATTGCTGTTGGAACGCCGCGTTCGCTCGTTACTCAAACAGACAATCATATCTGTCGAACGTGTTGCATGAGTCGTACCTGTCATCTTCAAAGTTATTATCTCAGCTCGGCTCAATCGTCTCAATTGTCCGTCGATAACTTTCGTAATTAACTTCCACCGATCAGAATTTCAACGGGGAATACAGTTCGACGTCGGACTTTTTATGTTTAATTAAGGTACATTCTTGTCGGTCACGCTACGAGTCTAATCGAGTCTAATTTGCATAGTGAAATTAAGCGCATCCAAAATTAGCGAGGTAAGAGTTGGAAGCACTCCGAGAGAAATCCTTTCGCCGATATGCTCGAACGAATATCGAGCAAACTCAGTTCCTGCAAGATAATCGAAAGAATATCCGAATAGTTGCGTCGTCGAAAGGCATCGGGACCGTCGTGATCGTCAAATAATTTTTGTCACTTGCATAAAAAAATAGAGAGGCAGAGAGAGAGAGAGAGAGAGAGAGAGAGAGAGAACAACAAATTTCATGGGAAGGAAGAACGTGATTCTTAGTGGCTTCGAGGTTGATTTTTTACGGCTTATAATCGCACGTCCAGTTATCAGCGGCAAAAAGCCACAACTGGCTTCGATTCTCGAATGGCTTCGCTCAGTGGAGTAGGACTTCCGTCGTTCGAGTTGACATTGTTTTTACTGCGAAAAAAATGAGAACCATCAATGTTATAGGATATTGTTAGATTAAGAAAAATATCACGAAAATATAATTGAATTAGCGCGATATTTATCTACACGAAAATGAAAAATTATTTTCAGAAAATTAACAAACGCAATTCGCGAACGAATGCTAAGTGATCGTGTGCGATTCAATAGTACAGCCGGTGGCAAGAAGTTTGCAATTTGAGTAAGATTCACACTTTTCTAGTTTGATGAGTTTCAAACGAGGTGAAAATCGTGCGATCGTTCTCACGACTATCGTAACCCCTTTACCGCGGACTATACAATTTGATGTTTTCCGACTGAATAGACACATTTTTTAACATACAAACTGACTTTCATATCAAAGAAAAAATCAACCGCTTAATTATTTGCACGGTCGATGATTTCGACGCATAGTCACGAAGAGTACAAATACGAATTAACCGTTTTTCTTACCAGGCGCGTTATTATCTCGCAAGCAGCGAGATGAGACAGCCTAACAGAAAGAGAGAGAGAGAAAAAGAGAAAAAGAGAGGAAGAGAAAGAGAGAGAGAGAGAGAGAGAGAGAGAGAGAATCTATATTATAAGAATATTTATATATATATATTATAGTATACATATTTAGTTTTTTATATATTTAGTGTATAAAACTTTATTACTGTATATATTTAGTATATGTATATATTATACATCATTATATATAAAAAAAAAGTACCAAATCTGATTTAAATATGATAAATTGACATATTCATGTTTTTAGGCAATATAATGTTAAGCTCCATCGGACACAACATGAATTTCATCTATTATATACAATTATATTCAATAGTTGGGGCTGAAATAGCAGTTTTTTAATTGCAATAGCGTTCAGTTGTGTTATTAGCTTTATTTATATTAATAGATATTTAGAGATGCGATTATACTTACAAGAGCCATAATATCATCTCTTTCCCTTTATTATATTATAGCATAGTTTATTTTATATAAATTAGAGAATTTTTATATAGTCCGAAACTATTTACTATGTACAGAAATGACCGGAGACGGGACCAACATGGCGTACCACGGACTAAGTCAACACGTTAATTTCGACGTGATACCCGATCCAGGCGGGCGTTTTCAATTGGAAGAACTGATCGGTGAGGGTACATACGGTGAGGTATACGCCGCTTACGACAAAGAAACCAATAGCAAGGTGGCCATCAAAATACTAGAAAATGTTGCCGACAACATCGAGGAGATCGAGGAGGAGTACTTAGTGCTGAGAGATTTGAGCCAGCACCCAAATATCCCTCTCTTTCATGGTTTATTTCTGAAACGAGCGAAGCCCGGTCAGGAGGAGGATCAATTATGGTTCGTGATGGAGGTATCGTCGTCGAAATATTATCTCGCAATAAAACAGATTCGACTAGACGGGTGAAATAAAAATTTGCATATTAATTTCCGATAAGAGAGAAATTAAAACTAGTTACTTCCTTATAGATATATATGTAAGATCAATCTCAGTTCGCATATAACTGGGTGGAGGTCAGATGAAAAAAACTTAGTGATGAGAAATGTCTTTGTTACTACGATTGTTAAAACATTCGTCCGAACATTTGGCTAAAACTTAATTGAAGTAATTGAGAACAATTGACTGAACAAAAATCATTTGTAGGAATATTTCGGTTTTTACAAATAAAGTTTCGTTCGATTCTCTGTGGAATTATTTTGTAACTTTTAACTAAAGTTCTAGATATAGATAAAGAAGCATTAATGTTATAGAAATATTAGTTTGACTGCCTATCTAAATCACAAGATCCATATATAATTTTTTAACGATTAAGAACATATACAGGATATTATATGACGTTCTGTACAAATTTAAAAAACATAAAAATGTTTATCATATAAATCAACTAAATATATCATGAGCGCAAACAAAGTGGATAACTATGCGCATCCATAGTTACAAATTATGCCATTATAATATGACGTTCCATGGTCTTACTTCCCCTTTCTTTCCTGCTATTACAAACTTTCCCATAAGCTAATAGACTGCATAATAAAATAATAACTAATAAGTCCCCTTTCTTGTGGTGTAATGTAATTATTGAATGGCTTCTAAGTTATAACATTTTTGTTATCTAATCTTTATATGTCGTGATTAAATAAAATAATTCTATTGTGTACAGTGTGTGTGTGTGTGTGTGTGCGTGTGTGTATGTGTGTGTGTATGTGTTAGGTTATAATGAGAATTTATAAAAAATTTGAGAAGAGTATTCTCACTTTGCTCGTTCATGATTTAAATGTAATCGACGAATAAATCAACGCAATTCACCATTGACAAATTGACAATCGCATTGGACAATTAGCTAAGCTTCAATACGATTGGTCAATTGTATTGTCAATTGAATTAATCATTGATTAGATTAAAATGATGATAAAAGCGGGCATTAAACTAATTACTCAGATTAATCTCTTGCGAATTAATTTTTCTTCCTTACTTATTTTCTTTCTCTCACTTTCTTACTCATTTATTCCAAACATTGCCATACGTAGCGACTTTTGAAGCCTTATATCGAATCCATTAAAATTTCTGTATTTATATCTAGGATCCTACTTTTAATAATGATGTTGTTAAAAGTCACAAAACAGGCCCACAATCAATAGAAAATTCAGTTACACAACCGAGTTTTTTTCTCGTGTAGCAGTGGTATAGTTCCCGTAGATTAATTTCTCAGTCTTCCAGAGAGGCGGCGGAGTCGACGTGTGTAAAAAGTTTATTGCTCCGGTTCCAGTTGTGCACCGGAGGCTCCGTGACCGATCTCGTGCAGGGTCTCAAAAAACGCAGCAGTCGCTTAACGGACGACCAGATAGCTTATATCTTGAAAGAAACCGTCGAGGCCCTCATCTTTCTACACAGTAATCATTGTATGCACCGCGATGTCAAGGGTCACAATATCCTGCTCACTGAAGAAGCGCGCGTCAAATTGGTCGATTTCGGCGTATCGTCGCACCTGGCTGCGACGCTCGCTAGAAAAAACACATCTGTCGGAACGCCGTATTGGATGGCACCGGAGGTAAATTTAGCTCGATTACATATACATGTATGATAAATAATTAAAGCGCAGCGGCTCGAGTATTTTTCCATTATCTTTGATCAATCGAACGTTTCGAAAATTTCTACTTAGTTAGCCATCCCTTTCCCTTTTCGCGCTACCTAATGCAAAAGGAATAATAAACATTTATAATTATGCACTTTTCATCTATTTTTGAAAATAAGACGCAAAATTTTTTCACTCTCTTTGTTACAAAAAACAATAATTTTAGTGGAGGCTAAGTGAACTGGTCAGCTTCTCATTTATAAATAACAAGCTATTCAAAAAGACAAATATACAGGAATTATCTATTAATTCCGCGGTCTTACATTTAAGTAGTATTGATTTTTCAGCTGCAACTCTTAAGGGATTTCTCTCGTAATAGAAATAATTATTGAATCACAGTTAATATACCAAAGGTACTCAACAATCGGAATCATTGTATATAAGAACACAAAAATCACGTAAATCTCCCATACATAATTTAAAGATTAAAAATTTTTTTTATTTTAAAGAATTTTTGACAAGTATATTTTTTTGCTTTAAGAGAGAAGTCTTAAGAATTGCAACGTAAAAATCGAAACTATCTAGATATAAGAACACATATACTATAGATTTGTCGTACATAATTGATTTAACAAATTCTGTCATTTTAAAGAAATTTTATCGTACGTTTATATAGAAAATTTTGCATTTCATTTTTGAAAAACACATAAATAGCGCATGATTGTGCCTTTACTATTCATTTTACATTTAGATGAAGGGCTAGCTAAGTAGATAAGTGGCTAGTTAGATAAACGTGTCTTAAAATTACGAACTACATTGAGATATTAAGGGCTTGCAAATTTCGTTTGATTTCAAATAATATTTAATTCATTGACCCATTAATAGTCAATGTCTCATTTATGGGACAATATTTTTAATAAATAAAAACTCAATATGTGCAATTTTATTTTATAATTAGAAAAACAAACGGGGCTCTCCGAGATATCTAATTAAAAAAATAAATTAATAAAGGCTGATTGTGCAAAAAGTTGTGTGAGAAAAAAAAGTAACAAGGAATCTGAAACGTGAAATTGATTCTTAACAATAATTGCAATCAAGCACAAATATTCGGGTCTTATTCAATGAGTACCGGAAATAAAATCGAAATGTTTGTATTAGGTTACAATTATTGTTAAAAATCAGTTTGATGTTTTAGATTCTTTATTATTTTTTTTCATGGCCAAATAATTTTTTCGTTCGATTCTCATAAGTCTTTATTTTGTGTTTTTGTGTTATTGTGTGTTTATATATTATTCTTTTATTTTTATGTGTTTTTAATGATTAATTCCCAGTTGTATCTATATCTTGAATAGAAATAGTTGTAACCGGAAATTCTAATAAAACAATCTGATGACCTTTTAATTAAAAATGTTTGCGAAATTATGGCTTTTGATGAAACAGTTACACGCTATGCTCTCAAACACTATCTGTTGATCAGACAACACTTTATTATTTGCATCTGTAAAATGATTCATTTTTTGAGTCTCATGAGATCATCAGCTCCCCGACAAGTGCTTTTGCAAGTTCTTAGTATCAAATTTTTTGCTTATCATAATGGCGAGAGCACATCTCTCATTTGTACCACAAAACCAGGTGATAGCCTGCGAGCAGCAACTGGACTCGTCGTATGACTCACGCTGCGACGTCTGGTCGGTCGGTATCACCGCGATCGAGTTAGCTGAAGGCGATCCACCTTTGTCGGAATTGCACCCTATGCGTGCGCTCTTTCAAATCCCGCGGAACCCACCACCCTCGTTGAAGACCCCAGACATATATTCGTCGGAACTGACGGACTTTATAGCCGAGTGCTTAGTGAAAGATCTCGAGCATCGGCCGTTCGCCAGCGAACTGAGGGAGCACCCTTTGCTAATGAACGTGGAGCCGAAAGTAGAAAGGATTAGGGGACAGCTGAGAGAAGAGATTCGCAGGCAGAGATCGGAGGGTCGTGTCCACCGGCAGCCGGAGGTGACCACTAAGCACGGCAAATTGAAGACAGACCGCAAGACCAGACCCGAGAAAATGTATATGGACGATCTGGCGGCGCTCGACATGCTATCGGAAGAAGCGATTGTCGAGCAATTGCAGCACCGATACGAGCAAGCGCAGATCTACACGTACATCGGCGACATACTGGTCGCCGTTAATCCCTTCACCAATCTCGGCTTATACACCGGCATCGTGAGTATATATCTTCACGATAGAAAAAGAGACGAGTCTATCCAACTCGAATTGAGTTGAAGGAACTCAAGCAACAGAGTTGTCCTCGAATCAATATTTTAATACTACTATTATGTTCTTAAGGTAGCTGGTCCGTAAATCTATTTTTTTATGAATCTTTTCAAATTTCAACAGCATGTTAATCGAGATACAATATCCGTTGATTTATAGGATTTCTTGAAGTATAAGTGTCTTAAAATGTACAACAATTTTTGTTATAACAATAATCGTTTCTTACAAAACAGCCTTTAGAATATAATCATACTATTCATGATTTTCTTTATATTTATATGCCTTTGATTTTAGACTGTAACAACAGGTTACATAATGTAATATTGTAATGAAATCGCCTTTATATATGGTTTTATGAATACCAAAGGCACATTTGTGACAACCATTTGATATGGTCAATATTCAAAAGAATATGGTCGTTGCTTCAAAAGATTTTTTAAGATTAACGTGCAACATGATAATATTATACTTGTGTGTTTTAAGTCATAGTACACGAGAATATATTCTTGAAAGTTTGAATACAAAGCTAGTTTATGCTTATAAATTGCTAGATATCTGCACTGAGAAAAATTTCTATCGGTAAACCGATTAAATGTATTTGATTATTATTTTTATTCCGATCAAGTGATGGACACTTTTATCCGATAAAGTATTCGATGAAATTACTGATGTAGTTACCGATGAAATCTAATCGGAAAATTAGTCGTATTTTTTATATCCGTTATAATTTTTATCGGATAAAGACATGACTTAATCGGACATCACACTTGATCGGACATGTTTGTTTTTTAATTGGATTTTTTAATTGGATTATCCGATCAGATATAATCGGACATTTTTCTCAGTGTGTATGTTACGAAAATATTCCAATATCATGACGTTCTATTTTTATTTCTTATATCACATTTGATGGAAACACGAAAACAATAATACTGCTCAATTTAGCTTTGATCTTAGCTTTCACTTGAGTTATCTAGTTCTGATTGAAAATGTAAGAATTCGCAAAGTTTTAATAATGACTGTCGGGAAATACAAATCTACTTCCGAAATTTGTCCATATGTCACAATGACTTTCATTCAAAACACGTGTCTTCTTTTAGTAACAATAATATTTTTCTTTGTATAATATTATCTTATATATTTGGACTAACCGCGGAGAATGATTATGAAATTTTTTCCAATAATAATAACATTTCTTACGACTAAGAATGAGAAATTCTTTGAAACGATGAACGTTTGTCTGTACGTTCAAACTCGAGAAATTTTCATTCATATTGGATAAAATAAAAATAAGAATAAAAATAATTTTCCTGTTGTAGCAAAACCATCATTTGTATTGTATAATCATTGCGACAGCGATTACCTGGCATAAACAAATTTATGAATTATTTGTAAGTAGAGAAGAGTTTTGTTAACAAGATAGAAAAATTCTTCTGAGTGAACTTGTCCTTAGGAATTGTATATTTGCTGTTAGAAGAAAATAGCGTTTTCCTACATTTGCTAATTTTTTCTTACAGCAAAATATTTTTTAGATTCAGCATAATAATCCAGTAAATGACAATTAGTACTTTTAACAAATCGTTTTGCTGTCTACATAATAATTGGGAAATTTTGTTGCTACAGCGTAAAATTTGCTGTGCTAGCGAATTATCGTTCTCTATAAATTTGGGCGAAAAAATTTCTATAACCCTATGATGTGGTTTTTCTAAATCCGACTTTGTCAATATGTAAACAACGTTCATCTTCGGTATTCAGCGGCTGAAAATCCAGATGTTGATTTTCATTAGAAACGATTTGTCATTTCAGGAGCAGAAACGATACAAAGGCCAGGCAAGATCGGATAATCCTCCGCACATATTCGCGGTCGCCGACGCAGCTTACCAAGCGCTGCTCCACCAACGTCAGAACCAGGCGATCGTTATCAGTGGCGAGTCCGGAGCCGGCAAGACGGAGAGCGCAAATTTGCTGCTGAAGCAGCTTGTGTATCTCAGCAAGGCGCCAAATCGTAATCTGGAGGAAAGGATACTTCAGATTAACCCTATAATGGAGGCATTCGGTAACGCCACGACTGGCATCAACGCCAACTCCTCCAGATTCGGCAAGTATTTGGACCTCACGATGACGAAGGCGGGGAAAGTGACTGGCGCCCGGATTTCGGTGTACCTATTGGAGCAGTCGCGAGTGGTCGCTCAAGCCGAGTACGTTTCATTGTTTTTCGAATAAAGTTAACCGTCTTCGCCTACATTAATGGGTGTAATGTAGTATTATAACTGTGCAAAAGAATTTTTAATTCTGTGCAGCCAATAACGAGTGTAGTACTAACAAATTTGCAATAAAACAGGACGACTCTAGGACCCCCCCTAATTTTATTATATTGCATTATAAAATCAGTAAAAAGACTTTTATTTGGCCTTTTCCTTATCGTCTGACTGAATATCAGTAGAACCGTTTCATGTATTTTATAATAAAATTTTCGTTATTATTGATAAGAGAAATACAGCTAAAATTCTCAAAAAAACTTTTGAAAATCTCTGATAATATATTTAATATTATATATAATTCTAGATGAATTCATCAATAAGAATTCTACAATTTTCGCAGAGGCGAGCGGAACTTCCACATTTTCTATTACATGTACGATGGCTTGGAGGCAGACAATCGTCTTTCGGAATTTTACCTCGATCCCACGCTTCGGAGGTATCATCGATACCTCACACACCATAGTCACACATCGCAGACTCACATCGACAAGTTTCAACAGCTTAAGGTGGGCTTCAAAGTGCTCGGGTTTCAGGACAGCGAAGTAGACACGGTGTATCGAGTTTTGGCCGCTATACTGCATCTGGGTGACATCGAATTCGCCGAAGTGGCAACCGAGGACAACACCGACAATAAAAGCCGAGTTATCGACACCGCTCCGTTGCGTATAGGTGAACAATTTATTTTTCTATGAATGACTTATCGTGTTGATACCTATCGCTATCAGTTCGTCAACTCTGGCATATTAGTTCTCGGTATATCATTGTTTTTTATTGAATGTAAATTATTGAATTCTAAATTTCAAACTTTTATTAAATTTTATTAAGGATCGTAAAGTTCAATGCTGCATTTTTAACGACGCATCATGACAGTTATTCATAAACTAAATATTTATCAAGCAAAATTACGTTTCATTATATATATATATGTATTAGACATTTTATTATACATTACATTTCTTATTTTTTATATTATTTTATTATTTAAATAATAAATGTTAATTTAAAACAAAGTTCAGGAAAAAATGTATACACAATATTACAGATACGAAAATATTATTTTTTATTTTTCTTATTAAAATTATATTCATCAGTTGATCTAAAGATATATAAATAATAGATAGAAGTATTTAAATATATATGCATATGTATGTATATTTCGAGTAATGCTATAAATTGTAAACTTTGTACTATTATATTTTTAAAACAAAATTGTCTATAATTCTGAAATGTTGTATATTTGGTATATATGAGTATTCAATATTACATTAATTTCTTTTCAAAATTTTATTTTTAGTTTAGAAGATATTAAAAATTGAAATTAAAAATAGCACACTAATCTCGAGAAACATGAATACAAAATTTCAACTTCAGTTGACTATTTCAACCCTCAAATAGTCAATTTTTTCTAATTACACAAGCATTTAAATAATATTTTATTGCATACATAATATAAATTTCATTGAATCCTTATTAAACTCAATTCATCTTATAATCTTCTTAAATTAAAATTTTTTATTAATCCTATTAGAAGAAAAACTGAATTTTCTTGTTCTTCTTTTTGAAGATGTATAAGAGAGAATAAAAGTTATCAAATATCAATCCTTATAAACAGTCAGAATAGTTCAGTAAAGCAACTTAAGACCTGGAATTGAATTTAAATGATCTTCATGTGATTATCAAATATTAATAACTCTCAGCTAGTAAAATTCTGTTTTCCATAAATAAACAAATCCGTACGGAGACATCACGTCATTAATCACACGTGATATGTGATCGAAAAAGCCGCTTTCCACTTTCAGTTTCGAAGCTACTCGGCGTCGAACAGAACGATCTGTTGGAGGCTTTAACGTCGAACTCGGTCATGACCAGAGGCGAAACAATTACACGGAATAATACAGTGGCCGAGGCTCGTACGGCGCGCGACGCCATGGCAAAAGGTCTTTACGGTCGGCTATTCGATTGGATGGTCAACCAGATCAATTGTTTGCTATGCTTCAACCGCTCGCCGAATTACGAGCCGCTGGCGATCGGGTTACTCGACATTTTCGGCTTTGAGAACTTCCCCCGGAACTCGTTCGAGCAGCTCTGTATCAACATAGCGAACGAGCAGATACAGTACTACTTCAACCAGCACATCTTCACATGGGAGCAACAGGAGTACATGGCTGAAGGAATACCCGTCGACCTGGTCGAGTTCTCTGATAACCGGCCGGTGCTTGATATGTTGCTTAGCAAGCCCATGGGGCTCTTGGCGCTTCTCGACGAGGAGAGCAGATTCCCTAGGGCGACTAATCGATCTCTGATCGGTGAGCATTCCATACGTGTTATCCTGCGGACATGTACTTTCCGATTCCGTCGCTTCGCGCCTCCCGTTCGGACGGAAATTATTTCGCGAATCATATCCTGTTGTGGAAATCTCCGTTCGAGAGATACGGAAAAGTCTATGTCAGACTTAACGTTGGAAACTGAGGATTGTGGAAGATTGAAAGTTGAGATTTAACCGATCAAAGAGAATTTCAAGATCGAAGTCAGCCGATTCGTTGAATTCTAACATCTTATTTGTAATTTTTAATCCTCGATCTTGAGAGAACATTAAACAAAATATTATAGTTCTTTATGTATGTTAATTTGTTTTAATTTTACTATATTTTCTAATATTATGACAGAAATATACTATCAGAAGGGTTTATCTGTTCCTAAAGAAAATAGTAAATTCTTTAATAGTAGATAGTATTTAATAGCAGGGTTGTGTATGAAATAATGCTTTACTTGTAACTTCGTTACGAATCACTGTTATCAGTAACGATTTATTAACAACGTTATATCTTTTTCATTGGAGTAATGGTAAAACAATTACATTTTTTGGGTAACGATAATGAATATATGATAATAAATATAATTGTTACTTTAATCGTTATTTTAAACACGTAGAATACACGTGGAACAAATGGAATAGGAAGCAATGGATCCTAAAAAAAAAAGTTCTTCAAACTATGATGAAAACTCATTACTTTTTGAGTAATAACAATGGTAACTAGTTATTTCTCAACAGTAACTTTCCTACTTAATAAGTACTCTGCTTAATCTTTAAGCGCACGAATTTTTCTAGAAATTTCTGTTTTTTAAACAATTATTTATGATCTTAGGAATCCCGGAAAAATATTAAAAATTTTTTTTTTTTACTTACATGCATAGCTGCGTACTAAAAGATTAATAGTATATATTTTAATTCTTAAAATATAAATGGTGCATATTTAAAAAAAAGGATAATGAATTAAGACAGCATATGTGTGTCAATACATTCCTCGGTTTTTACGATAAATTTTTTACTATAAAAAAATAAAAGTAAAAAATAAAATTTTTTATTATAAAATTCTTTCTCTGTGCGGTCGAATAGGGGCATAACCTCCAGAATTGCTACTATTGAGAATAGTCGACGCTACCAGCGTATTTTCAACCACTTGATTTTTCCTACAGAGAAATTTCATAACAACATTAAATCCAAGTTCTACGTGCGACCAAAATCGGACGCGGTGTGCTTCGCGATCCATCACTTCGCTGGTCGCGTAGTCTATCAGGCTGAGGGTTTTCTCGAGAAGAACAGAAACTTCCTGCCGCCCGAGGTCATTCAACTGGTTCGACAATCACAGTACGACATGGTCCGGTTCTTGTTCCAATGCCCGATCACGAAGACCGGTAACCTGTATTCAGCGTTGCAGGAAAATGACTCAAGGAAATCGCATTCGAACCAAAACACGAAGGTGTGTCGGATTATACTTCTCTATCTGTGTGTGTCTCTGCAATTTTGCACACGAAATATTAATGATACGTTAATGGATACGCAGGAACGTTACTCTAGTCGCGGATTGGCGTCGCAATCTAGAGCTCAGCAAACGGTAGCAACGTACTTCCGATACTCGCTGATGGATCTATTGCAGAAGATGGTATCCGGATCGCCTCAGTTTGTCCGATGTATCAAACCAAACGATTCAAGAAGCCCGCGTTTCTTCGCCAAGGAAAAGGTCGTTAAGCAGCTGAGGTACACCGGTGTCCTCGAGACGATACGCATCAGACAGAATGGATTTTCTCACAGAATACCGTTCAACGAGTTCCTTAAAAGGTATATCTGAGTTAATGATTGTAATCGCAGCGGCGATGCAAAATGTTGGGTCGATAAAAAGTTCAGTTCGATCTTCGAGTTAAAGGATTCCGCACGTTTCTTATGAAAAAAATAACCCCGGTCAAATTGCTTCGTTTTGAAATATGTTGTAGTTTTCCGTGATTCTGAGCAAATGTCTTTTTTTACACGTTTACATAAAATCAATAAACAAAGAGAGCTTTGAAGTCATAGAACTTGAGTGTCTCTCATATTATTTTAAAATAGCTTGATGCTTTCTTTTATGCGTAATAAGTATACATATGCGTATATTCTTGAATGTTGAAATATAACCAATATCTTCTATATCAAGTTCTATGAATGCAAAGCTCTAAATCTCTTTATCTGTTGTGAATGATTTTATGTGAACGTGGCAAAGGAGACATTTGTTCAGAATCATAAAAATTTCAACGTATCTCAAAACGAAGAAATTTGGCTGGGGTTATTTTTTCACGTGAAATGTGTCAGCTTCTTTGATTTTAGCGTGTTTGATTGGAAGAAATTAACTCGTCTCAACTAAGCAAGCACTGTAATTATTTATAATTCTGGTAATGGCAATGTTGCGGCATTATTCACACGTCTCTGTCGAAAAAAATGATCGGGTTATCGTTGAAAAAAGAATTAAAAATCGAACCAAATTTTTGTGATTAATCCAACAGTTTTGCCTTTTTTGAACTTTCACCGATTACACGAATACAACTATAATTACTGCTCTCTATAATTACAATTGTAATTATAGATACTGTTTCCTCGCTTTCGGCTACGACGAACGCGTGATCGCCAATCGTGAAAACTGTCGGTTGCTTCTGATACGCCTCAAGATGGATGGTTGGGCGTTAGGCAAAACAAAAGTCTTTCTCAAGTACTATCATGTCGAATTTCTCTCGAAACTTTACGAGGAACAGTTGAGAAAAATCATTATAGTGCAGGCTTGCGTCCGCCGGTGGCTCGCAAAGATGAGATTTAAGAAGCAAAAGTGGCAATTCGCCGTGTCGGTAGTCACGCTGCAGCGTCACATTAGAGGATGGTTATCGCGAAAGCATACCGAAGAAATGTTGGCTCAAAGACGCGCAAAAGAGAAAAATTCAGCCCTTGACTTTATGCGAGGTATGTGAGCTCGATTTTGAAACTTAATAATATAAATCTCTTCTAGTTTCTAACATGAAATATAATTTGATATCTATTTAAAGAAATGTAAGATCAAAACAAGAACTTGAATACCTCGAAGCTTCTCTCATGGAAAAATATAATTTAGGGGGATTGTAAATTTTATGCTGAAGTAGCTGAAGCAATAATAATAATAAATAAAAATAAATTAATACACAGGATGCTTTTTAAGAGCCGTCCAATATTTTAGGAGTTGATTTTTGAGGAAGTTTTATGAAAAAAATACATATATGAACATCTCTTCATAAAATGATCTCAAAAACTAAATGCTAAAATATTGGGCAGTACTTAAAAAATACTTGTATTTATTTGCTACACAACAATATTTGCTATCTCTCTGAGTTATTTTATCTTATTTCTCAACTTATTAGTTATTTGGTTAATTTGTTAAAGGCTATTAAAATTATTTCTAACAAATTCTTATTTTAATTAGTAAATATCGTTTTAAATTATAAAGAATCAATATGTTTATTTTCGAAAGATCTCAGATTAATATTAGAATTTTTTATTTTTATTGAAGCCGTAAATATAACAGGGAATTATAATATAACATGTGCTAAAGATATACAAATAAAATTATATATTAATAGAGTACTTATATCAATTAATTAATTTTTATATTATTCAGTAAAAATAGAATTAATTTTATTCGGTAAAAACGAAACTGTCATAAGTGTCCCATGTGTAAAATATTAGATGCTAATAAATTAATATCAATATTACCTTCTTTCCTATCCTCTGCTAAATAATGTAATTTAATGTTACCAAAAATATCTTATATATTTTTTCTGACTCTGATACAACATTATACTGATAATTATTTTATTTCTTTAAATTTTTTCATAGATAAGGCGAAACGTAAGACTCAGGAAAGCACTGATATAAATAAATGCGAACGACAAGAACAAGAACGTAAGAATCTGGAAAAGAACGCCGCAACCATAATACAGAGTCGTACGTGTATTCAAAAGTCGCAAGCTGCTATTTGCAGTCTACAATTTTACATGTTACATATGTACAGTGAAATTACAGATTTTTATTTTCGCGGCACAGATTTTCGCGGTTACACCATCCGCAAACGTTTCGGCTACGACCTGGAAGAACGATTCAAGAGGATCTTGAATAACTATGACAACGTCTACGACGGCCACAAGGCGTTACTGCGAGAAGGATTGAAGCACGAAGATGCGGCTCTCATCGTGCAGAGATGGTATAAGAAGGAAGAGAGGGTGATCAGGAAGAAGCCGACCGCGAAAGACCCAATACATCCTAAACTACGACAAGCAGACCTGATTCAGTTCTCTCAGAATGTAAGTGAAAACCACTCTCCTGTCTAACAGAGCTAAGCGTTAGCTCTCTATTACGCGACGTAACTTAAAAGAAAGTTACATACACATGCATCCATAGACAAGAAGGTGGCTTCGCCCTCTATTTTGCACGATAATTTTAAAAGACATGTATGTCTAAATGACATTTTAGACTTTAGACTTTTAGCCTTTAGACTTTTTATTGCCTAAAAGACGTCTTTTCCACGATTTAAAATGTCTTAATGTTCTCTGAGAACTTTGTTAATAATCAATATTTTAAATTGAAATGTTAATAATTACATTTGTCAAAATGTTCTTTAATTGATTCTAAACTCAAAGTTATGAAATATATGTTATTTAGGATGTTATTTGTTTGTAAAATTATTTATAAAACTGTAGTGACACTGTAATGGGTATAAAATGGGTCGAGGAGAAACAAGATAGTATAATATGGCCTTCTTAAAATAGATAAAAAAATTAATATTCAGAGTTTTCGACGATATTGAACAGAAGAGGATTGATAGAAGAAGTAATATATTACAATTTTGGGATAAATAGAAAGGCAGTCATCTTGAATTGCATAAATTATTCTAACGAAACATATATATTCTGAGAAAGCTTAGAGAATATCGAAATATTTTCCGAATATTCTCAGAATCCATATAATTTACATATTCCGTTAGGAAGAGGTTACAAATAACAAGAATAATATTATATATTCAAAAAAGTTAAGAGCAGAAGATAGAAATAGTGAAAAAATGCCATTATACAAATGCATACATTCATGTTATATATAATTTAAATCATAAAAATTTCAATAAGGAAACAAGTTTGAAGAAGCGGAACTGAAAAAACCATAATTTAAACGGTTTACCGGTACTTTCATTGCCCGGAATCCGAAACCTTTATTAAATATTTTAATGGACCGGAACTGAATGAAGCGGAACCGAAACCGGACTGATATTTTCATTTGGTCCGAGTCTTTGATATATTCTGCAAGAATTTTAGGCATACGTTTTTCGCTTTTGACGTCATTAATGACTGTTGCAAGGGAATAGGAATTAAAAAAAAAGTTTATTCGGGTTTAACCCTGAAATAAGGCGGATGTCGTATAATCCTTTTACTTGACATTACATATAGAAACCATATCAGTGTTCGCGTCGACTGTCTCGCGCCGTTAATTCAATTAAGTTTATTTTAGTTAATTCGGTTTGTCGATAAAAAATGCTTATCTCGAGATTATTCTCATCGTCAGGTGCACATGAAGAACCAGGACGTGCATAAAAATCTGCGTCGCAACAAGTCCGGCGTCAGATTAAGCGATATCGAAGAGCCACCGCTCGACTACGTGCGTCCTGAAGGATTCAACATGGTGCAATCGATATTGCAATACCGCAGCGGGATACAGCCGGACGAGGAGAACACCGTCAAGTATTATCGGGACTTGAAAGAGGAAATGAGCAGGTAGATATGTATAAACCGAGCCGTCCGTCACTTTAGTTTAGAGCGTCGTGTATCTGAATTGGAAATTCAAATGCTCAATTTTCGAATGCTTCTGGCACTCACACCGCAAGTGGTTCGGAATTCGAAGACGACGAAGTTGGCTGGGACTTACCGTTGATACGGCTAGAAAATGACCTCCACCCATCGTCGAGGTACACCGTGAAATCTGACCGGTATCTGAACGCTAGTTTGCATGATGCTAGAATCGATATTCGTGTATTCGTCGCGATAAAGGCCAGCGGAGCCCTAAGACTGTGTTACGAGAAAACATGCGGAAATATTCTTCGCTGATTTTGATAGGCTTCAGATACGTTGTAGAAAAACCGAGACACATATTCTATTACGTGTATCTTTTCGCATATTTAGGGGTTAAAACAACCTCTGGAAGAAAGTCATTTTATCAAAATATAGTTTTATAATATTTGATGCTAATTTAGATTATTTATAGATTTATATATAGATTTATATATATATTAGATTATTTATAGATTTATATATATATATATATAGATTTATATATATATATATATATATATATATTTATTTATTTATTTATTTATAGATTATTATAATTTTAAATTTATTCTAAATTTTAATATTTTAGTATTTAAATTTCTTAAAATTTATGTTATTTTTTAACATAAATAATCTCTTAATAATTAACCATAATTAATTGCAATGATCTTTCTGAGAATATTAATGCAGAGTTATAAAATACAGATTATTAGGGCTGAGATATTCGCTCATAATCGACTTTATTAAATTATCTTTGTTGTTTCGACCTTTAAATGAAAGCACATGCGAAAAATACGTGTCTCTTATTTTCAGCTGCTGAACACATCCGAAAGATCAAAATCGATGAGAGACGTTTTTCGTCTATTTCCTTGTTAGATTACATAATACAGTTTCATATCGGCTTCACGAATGACATCTTCGAGTTTTAAGCAGGCGAAAAATATGATTTTATGCTAACGTTTGTCGAATTTACCAATTAATACTCTGTAATTTTTGTCTTGCGTACATCATGTATTCACGAAAATAGTCCTTTAGTCGCAGAACGCTGTGCTTCGTCGGTGCCATGTAAAAACTTTACTTTAAGCTGACGTAGACAACAAGATTATCCTTGTTGTAGGAATCGGAATGGTCAGATTCTGGAAGTGAATGCCGAGAGAAGGGATCGTGCGGCTCAAAGCGATTTTGCAGTGGCGCCAGAGAAACATCTGTCAGATATCTGGCACAGAGCGCTGAGACATCCGTCCGATATGCACGAAAAAAAGAGCTCCAAGAAAAATGTCAGGTAAGAAGCGCGCCACGTGTGGCAAACTCGCAAAATGTCGAACGTTATCGTTATTTCAACGAATCAATTATTCACCGGGCTTTGTCCGAGTTTCGTCTCGATGAATGTTCAGCGACTAATTGTGCATTTGTGTGTCATTTTATACGTCGCCAGAGGCATCATGGCAAATTTCCAGGTAAAGTTGTAAATTTATGCCACGACTGCGATGTATCTCATAGTGGCTTCGCAGCTCACGAATTATTATTAACGCATTGCGGACGTGCCGCTGTAATATTTCATTCTAACTTAAAACATACATTTCATGAATATATAATTAACGAATACATAAATAGTTAATATATGTCTTTTAATACGATATTCATTAAAAAACATTATTCTCGGTGAAAAGGTAGAAAATGGAATTAATGGATCGTGTTTTAGTACCTTGAAAAAGTGAATCATCGTTTCCGGTGCTCGATGCTTCAAAAACCAAAAACGTCGATTCACGTATCCGATCCGTAATGCGCTAATAGACGTAAGGGAAAGGGGGGTAAGATGAAGAAGTGGGTAAAATAAAGATTTGCTAACTTTTTAAGCTAATAATAAATAACGAGTCAGTGCACAATTACAGTCATTACAGTCTTCTGAAAATTTTGTAGTTTTTAAATAAACTGTTGTAGTTTGGCTTCGATCTGTCAACGATAGTAGATAATGTAAAAGATGTATTTTGGATACGCATATATAATTTTATTGAATTTTGATGATATTTCTTCATAAAAAATTACACAATTATAATAAATATCTTCACTTTCTTTATAAAAATATTATATAATATATATAAGAACGTATATAACAACATATTATTATTTTTGATTTCTCAGATATTACAATATTTTTTTAATTGAATAAATAAATATATTGACCACATAGGAATAAGATGATATATGTTGATGATATCATGTGTAAAGATAAATCAGTTATATTGTTACACAAATCATACTTTTTATAAATAATATTTTTATTTATATTTTATTGTGTTGTACACAGATTATAATAACAAAATAATATAAAACAAAATTTATTTTTAACTTTTGTCGTTTTACATATAGAAACAAAATGATGAAATTGACACATTTTCAAAAAATTTAAATTAAAATTTTAATTTATTTATCAATTTATGCAGATAATAGGTAAGGTTTTAACTACTCAGAAAAAAATTGACCATTATTTTTACGTCACTACGAAAATGAGGAAATATCGGCAAACTTTAAAATTGTCATTTTACCCCTCTTATCTGGTGGCCGGAGAGTGACAATTCGCGCGAAACCAAAGTATCAACTTATTTTTTTCCAGTACAAGGATTAATGACCTGCATATCGGCAACAACATGCAGTCGCAGGCGGGCAAGCAACGTGAAACCGATTCTTCGCATCTCCACGATCCAGCTGGCCTACGATCCGTGATCGACGATCGATACCACACCGCGAACGAACGACAGAGCACCCACAACGGACAGAATCTCGTTAACGGCCATCATAATCCCATCAGCGAGCATCATATCTCGGTGAACGGTTACGGCAAAGATAAGACACTCCATAGGATAAACAACGGTATCGTGAGAAACCAAACGGATCTTTCGAACACCTTGCAAACCGAACTAACCAATGGCTCGACGACTGTTAACGGTGGCGCCGAGAAGATCGGGCCGGGTCGGTCAAGCCCTAAGAACGGTTGTCCGACGAAGAATCACCAGAGCAGCGTGGATCACAAAAACGGGATCAACCGGTTAAGCGACGTGAGAGATAAATCGACGGACTATAACAGGCAGACGCAGAAGGAAGATACGTTCAACATCGCGGCTAACCTGCGGCAACTTCTGAGACCCACCGTGATCGAGAAGCGGCAAGAGATCAGCAAGGTTGAGTATGACGCGGAAGATATCAACGGACCGTACAATTTCAGACAGTTGCTCAGGCCGACCGAATACCTTCCGACCGAGTCGTTAAGGAAGAGAAAAGGGGGATTAGTCTCCAGTAGACTTTTATTCTCGAAAGATAAGGTTCCGGAGAAACACGTGAAAAGAAGAGCGCCGTTAGCGCCGACCCAGAACAAATTGGTCAACGGGAAGAAGTGATATATATTGCTTAATGCTACTTTCGAGCACTCTTTCATTTCAGAAAGATCCCATTTTACCGCGTACTCTATGTTCAATGAATGTTCCAACGGAGCCGTATTATGGAGCACCGAATATTGATTATTCAGTTGATTAGTTAATTTATGATGATGTGAGAAAAAGAGAGAGAGAGAGAGAGAGAGAGACGTATAACCGAATTATATTTACTTTACATTATTTATTATCGTTCCGAGAATCGTCATGAGAGTTAGCAAGCGTCTAGAACTAGTCATTTCTGGCTTTACTTAAATTAGACGTTCATCATCGATGTAGATACAAATAAATTATAATAAATATATCAATTATTCTTACGATTAATTCGAAAGTTCGTTGGAATTGGCGGAAAATTATAAATTATAAATTCGTTTAAAGTAAAAGACAGGGTTGAGCATTACGTGCAAAATATAATAATCTATGTCTATGTGTAGACAATGCAAACTATGTATAATATGTCATCCATGTAGATAATAAGTAATCTATGAGCCGTTATGGAATGGTTCTGTTTTTTTTACATTTATAAATTTTATTTTTATATTTTGTTTCTGGTAAAAACTCACAGATAAATTTAAATAATAACATTTGTAGATTAACAGTATGTACAGAGTGTTGTGTCGATATATTAAGCCGTATATACCGGATCATCGCTGCAAAAACACATATAAGTGAGAGCATACTATGCAAACTCGGACCGACTGCGCGTTCGCTCTCACTCTTTCATATATACCTTTGCAGCGACAACCTGGCATAGTGCTCAATATGTTGGTGCAATGCTCTGTACATTGAATTTCATTATGTTTTAAACACTTTTTTCTTGACGAACTTCGGAGCGCAAGAGGTGGTGTAGCAGACAGAACATTGGTTTGTGATATTCCCGGGTTCGATTCCCGGCAGAATTGGAAAAATTTGTATACGTTTGTGTTTCCTCCGGACGGTCTGGCAAGCTACCACGGTATATCTGTCCAAAGATCCTTTCATAAAAATATGTCGTTCGAAGTCGGCGTTAAACTATGTAGGTCCCATATACCTGTATATAATCAGCATGTGTGTCACAAGCAATATGAATGAGAGTAAAACACAGGCCCCAAAGCCTTAACATAAGAAAAAGAAGAAGAACTTCGGAATACAGAGCCGATGGTCCAATCAGAGCATTCGTTCTCAAAAAATAAATTCCGTCGGACCATCGGCTACGTTCCGAAGTGAGTCAAGAAAAAAAACGTACAAACCGTTATGTAACCTAGTCCACATTTTTTATAATACTATGAAGATATTTTAAATATGCATGAAGCGAATTATGTCTAATATAATTCAATACAATTTATTAATAAGTGATGAAATTATTTGGTTTAAGCACAATGACAAAATTTTAATAGTTTATGATGTCACGAAAAATCAATAGTACATTTGACCAACTTGATTTCATATTGACAAAAAGGAATACGAGTATTATACATATTGTGTTTATTGTAATTAGAAACTAAGAAACACTGCCTTTTCCCGTTTAAAAAACCATAAGTGAATTTAAATGGTAAAATTTCTTTGTGTGATATATATATATATATCAATTCTTCAATTTTTAATATTAGGTTGGTGCGTATGAAATGTCGCATTCTCTTTACATGCGGACGTTTTCCTCCCTGTTTTCGTTATACTTTTGTATTTGGCATAACCTCATTCATACTCGTATTGTCCATTGCCAGAGACTCATTTCAACAAAATAGGTTTTCTCGAAGGTCTTCCCTTTTTTATTTCTTTTGAGTTTATTACCGATATGAATTCTGCCGACATTCGCGTCATTTTCTTATATGAGTACAAACTTGGTAATAGTGCTGCAAAAGCTGCACGCAACATAAACCAAGCGTTTGGGGAGAATACGGTTAACAATCGGAAAGTGCAGCGTTGGTTCGAAAAATTTCGGACTGGCGATTTTTCACTGCAAAATGAGCCGCGCGGAAGACCCAAAACGTCTGTGAATAATGATGACCTGAAGGCTCTAGTGGAAGCGGATCCAGCCGTATCCACGAGGGAACTTGCTATCAGGATGAAAGTTGACCATACAACGATATTGAGACACCAAATTGTACTCCCATCGCTTGTGAATCGGCATGGCCCGCTACTGCTCCATGACAACGCTCGGCCGCACACATCGCACAAAACAATTGCGAAACTGAACGAACTGGAATATGAAGTTTTGCAGCATCCACCATATTCACCGGATCTCTCGCCGACCGATTTTCATTTTTTCAAGCATTTAGAGCTGTTTTTAAGAGGCAAACACCATGAAAATGAAGACAGTCTAAAAAACTCGATATCAGAGTTTATTAATTCTAAAGACCAAAATTTTTTTAAGACAGGCATCTACGCTTTAAAATCTCGTTGGGAGAAGTGTATTGAAGCGAATGGAGCATACTTTGATTGAATAAACAGCTTTTGAAGAAAGATATACAGTTTTATACAATCACTTAAGAATCCGACATTTCATATGCACCAACCTAATATATTAAATATCTTCATAATTAACATCAAAAGCGAATACGTGAATTATTTTATAATTTAAACTAATTTATTTACATATTTGTTTATTTGTACTATTAATTTATTCTTTCTCTTTGTATGTATTGTGCTATATAATTTATAATATCGTACATAGTTTACATTATCTAGATTTCCGCGTCAATGTCACATAGACGATACATGAATTATCTAAAGATTATCCATAGACGTAATATTAAAATCTACGGTACAACCTTGGTGAAAAACCACTGCGATAATTCTTAATACACTCTTCTAAGAATCGTTACTTTGTAAAAACTCCGATCAGATTCACCCTCATCCTTGGCAATGGACGCAAACCTCAATCGATGCCTGTCGATTTTGTGCGTGGCCGTCGATACAATCCAAACCTTTTTTCTCGTCTTTGTGTTTAATTTATTGAACGTTGTACGACTACACTACAAGCGTGTATACCAATCGATACGATCGCCGCCGGTTGGCCCGTTAATTCTTGAAGTAACCGCGCGAAGATCTTCCTGTCAAGCGAACATCGCATGTCGAATATCCGTTGACCCACCACCGATGAGTGCGCATCGTCGAACGCTCGGCGAAGCTCGCTTGGCGCTTAGTTATCGACTATCCCGACAATGTTGCCCGTTGTTCGCCCGCGTATTCACCGCGTTCTCTCGCCCCCAGCCAGGAGACTCGGGCAGATAGGGCGAAAATATCTGCAGCGCTTGTTTCTTCGCGAGATTACTGGCTGTTAATATCAGCTTCGACGACTACGGTTCACTCGAAGAGCCACGAGATGGCCGGGGCTTGCGGCACCGCCGCGACGCCCGGTGGCCTACGACGTCCGGCGTCGGCAGTAGTAGTTACGTCGGCGTCGACGTCGTCGCGCGACGTCGCCCTCATCAGCAGCCGGCTCTCTCAACGGGCTCGACCATTGGCTGGGTCGCAGGTAGAAGGGCATCCGCTGGCTAACGACGACGTAGTGGGGCGAGGGTGGCAGTCGTGCCGGGTATGCGGGCGGGGGTAAGGGGGGTGCAACGAACCCTCTCGCCTCGGCTCGAGTCTACGGAGCACGGAGTTGTGTTCGAATCATGGCGACACCCGACCCCGTAGACCCAGCCACCCTAGAGATTAAGACCCGTAGCATAGAACAGACACTACTCCCACTAGTGAAGCAGGTAAGACTATTTTTCCGCAACGTGAAAACGCAACAATCGGAACTGCTCGTTCTTCGCACCGGCGGCGCGCCGTCTCTTTCCTGTCTCTTTCTGTCTGTAACACACACTCTTTCTCTCTCTCTCTCTTTCCCCTCCTCCCTCTTTATATATATATCTCTCTCTTTGTCGTTCTCAGTCTCTCTTTTTCTCCTTCTCCCTCTCTTCATCTTTCTCGTCGACTATCTCTTTCTCTTTCGTCGCGTCTCGGTCTGTCTTGCATTCGGTCTTCGTTCCTCCCAACGCCTCGCATACTCGGCACATCCGCGTTTCGCTGTCTCGCGTTTGCTGTTTAACAGGTTGAGATATCCGGATTCTCTTCCTGCCTCTCTTTCTCTCTCATCGCGCCAAGCGACCACCCATTCCGATACGTGTCATTCCGTGTGTTCACGCGTGCGTTGCTCCGAGCGGGCACGAGAAGTTGCTCGCGTGCTCGCTCGTTCGCTGGCGTGCGTGCCTGCGTACGGTGCGTCGCGGTGCCGGGGATGTCAAGACGCTGAGCGTCGCGCGACGAAGAGCACCGGAGCGAGACGGCAAATGGGCGCGTGTGCACCTTCGAGTGAGAGAGTTCCAGTACAGGAAAGAGACAGAGAGGAAGAGAGAGAGAGAGAGAGAGACATGGGATTGTTGAATGGAAAAAACTAGACCATGAGAGAGAAGCTCAAGACTCGATGACATGAGACGACACACGACGAGACAAAGCGGAGAGCGGCGCGATCCGCTGACGCGACTTCAGACACCAGAAATAGCACGATTCCCACGCTCTCTCTCTCTCTCTCTCTCTGCCTCGCTCTTCCCAATCGCGTGGCCGACGTGGTACTCTCGTGGGTCGCATCTTCACTGTTTGCCGCCGGGCGTAGCATGCTCCGTTTTCTCACAATGTCAAGACAGCGTTGGGTCCGAAAGCCATTAAACACATCCGGCTCGCGCTCGAGGTGGTATTCTACAAACTTTGACACTCGTGACGTCAAATACGCGTTTAATACACGTTCGACTTGGTCGCGAGGCACGCGCTACATACGGGAGTAAGGGATATTTCGGTGCTCTCTCTCTCTCTCTCTCTCTCTTTCTCTCTCTCTCTCGCTCGCTCGCTCGCTCGCTCTGCCTGTCTCGCGTTCACTCCACTTCTCTCTTTCTTCTCCACATTTGCTCACCTCGGCTCATGTAACGCACGCTCACACCTCACGCACGTTTTCTCGGCGCCGACACTAAGCATTTTCGTGGTATTACATCGAATTTATGGTTGCACCCTCATTGTATAATAGCCGGCACGTGCGCGATGCACGCGCGTGAGCGGCATGTACGGATCCGTGCGGCAGGGTCAAAGGCCGCTGCTGAACGAACAAACGAACGAACGCCGGCGATCAAGAAATGAATCGCCCCGCTCGACTCGCACCACGTTGCCGGCAGATTCGCACGCAACGGAAGGATATCACGAGACGACGTCGAGTCGACGTTATTAATCGGAAGAATTTTTTTTTCACGTGTGACAATTTTGCATCAATTGACTGCCTCATACTTTCGACGATAATTTCGATGGGGAATCCACAATAATTTTGATAGAGGAATTTTTAAGGGATCATGGTTGCCTCGATAAACGAATTAGCGCTGGCATATTCCGCGCGCGCGCGACACAACATTTATAAATGCGCGATGCACTGCTGCATGCAGTAGACAGCACCTGCGTATATAATGCGTATATGCACGTATACGGACAATTGGAAGACTAGTTCGATGGAATGGTGCGCATTTTGCCTTGCACTTCATCGAAATTCGTTTCATCATCCGATGAAAATACAGCTCTGACGCGGATTATTGTTAAACTGCGGCGTGAATCGTCGGAATATGCGATTACTGACTTATCGAGAGTGCTAGCTCTGGATTTTTTAACAATCGCGATATATTCTTATGTGCGTATATATATATTCTCGTATTGGTGAAAAATGAAAAATTGAGTTTTGCAAATTCAAAGGGATATATTTCACCACTTGGCAAGAAGAAAAAGTCGATGATCGTGTCTCGTAAGAAAAACGAAATACATTCCGAAGACTGCGGGGTATCTCTCTCCTCCTTGCTCTCTCCTCCCATCCCTTCCCTCTCTCTCTCTCTCTCTCTTTCGATAACGAACTTATCCCCAATCTCAATGTTGATTTTCGGTGAGTTCGAAAGATCGCAGCCCGTTCTGCGGTTAAGTTGGTCAAATGAAACAGAGGCCGATCTAATTCACGCTTTTATCGGCCGTCGAAGTCAGCCAGTGACGTCTAAAAAAAGGTATTACGTCGGCTGTTTCCACTGACTGTTATGTCTTGTCCTCTCTCCCTCTTTCTCTCGCATATGCGAACAGTATAAGGTCGCTCGATTTGCTCGGAGAAATCGTTACCGAAGTGAAATAAACGAAACGATCGGCTGCGTTGGTCTAGCTTCCCCTTCCTCTCTCCGTCTCTCAGAAGTTCAATTTAATTTAACAATCGGTGCAACCTGCACCAATTACTTAACCAACTAGTTACCGTAGACGTCGCCATAGCGACATCGGGCAAGGTCCATTAGACGCTTCGAAGCATTCCAGCTATCTGATGACGTCATTATAATCTCATGTATAAAACCGCTTCTGAAACCTATAAACCGCCTAGTGAATTGCACCGATTAGTTGACTGTGAGCAGTCGAAAAAGCAGAAGGATACATGCACCGCGAGCAAGCCTGGATATCTCGGCGAAGGGGGTAATTTTGTCGACAACTTCGCGCGAAAGGAACGCGCAGCAATAATTACCGGCGATAAAACGGGAGCGCGGCAAAAGTACGGCAAAAAGACGAACGAAAAGGAAATAGACGGTGGTTATTTCGAGACGAAAGCGAGGAGGAGAAGGGTACCGATCGCTCGTGGTCGACCTTCGTGTCGTGTTTATCGATATTTCTGGTAGCATGTCAGTGTGCATACGTACCAACACAGACGTGCAAGCGAGCGCGCGCGTACGTGTTGGTTAACCTTCTTGGGTTAGGAGGGCGTGCAGTACGAGTGGCCGGTGCATGGCACAGAGGGCGATCGTTACGAGCTGCAGCCACTTGTTAGAGCTCCGTCTGGTCGTCTTCGTCGCGCCATCCCCGCCACTGTCTTCTTTCCGCCCGCTCGCTACGTCTCTCACCTTCCACGCTTTCTCGCTACTTGGATACGTAGAGTTCGGTGGGCTGCGAACTCCGCGAGGAAGCCGCTTCCCTGGCGATTCCCGTCGCGATCTCGTCCTGCGTCCTCTGCGAATCCTCTCTATTGACATTTCACTCGTTTTTGATGCGGCTTCGCCCGCACACCTATGTGCATCTTCGGCGCACTTCGGCCGGCGTTTTCGTACTCTTCGGATAAACGAAGCGGTCGACGATCACGTCTACATCAGGCGAATCCGAAGTTCCTTTGGAATAGCCGGAATAACTGGATATATGCCCCGAGTCAGGATTTTGATGCCAATTTGACGCTCTTAAGGACAGTTTACAATTGCTTAAATGGCCTGTAAACTAGTATAATATATACGCAGAAAAAAATTAATATCAATATATTCAAAACTTTTATTCTCATATATAAGCAAGAATATATAATCTTATATGAAGATAAAACTTGCATATATGAAGAAATTATATATAGTTCTAATAATATAATTTTCTCTTTATTTAACTCAGAAATAGTCATCTAGGGTCTTTTCAGACCTCAGCGGTCAGAAAATTAAGCTCACGTTGCAATGGGTTTATTAACTGATCGGGAATAGTGCTCTTAAATTTCCGGAAAAATGATTTCTGGGAAAAAACTACCTTTTCCGGGGTTTTTCATAGAAAAGCCGTTATCATTTTAGAAAGAATAATATTTTTATCTACAACTTCGTTATCTAGCCCTCAAGATTATGTAAGTAGTACCGCTACTTGAATCTACTAACACTACGACTTTTTAGAGCCATTTGAAATTGCCGCGTCTTTTACCGGCGACGTTGTTCCTTCTCCAGGTGGCAATGTCTTTTCCCCTCTAGGTGACTGTCCTGTTCACTTTATAACACTTCTTCGTGCTGAAGATACCATGACGACAAGAAATTTCTCTACAAAGATTTGATTTGTTTTAACAATCTGGTACTATTGGTTTTAGATTATGAGTAAATCTAAGAAAAGGAGTCGCAGCACAGATAAAGACAACGAGCAGTTACAAAAGAGCATGAGAAAAATGGAGGAAATACTTCAAAAGTTAGATGAAAGAGATAACCTCTTTTCTCAATAATTTGTGAAATTGGCGAGGGAAAAAGCTCCTTCACCGTCCCAACAGAAACCAAGACCTTCTGAAGGTCTGGAATGACGCCAAGGTAGGTTTTCCGTTAGATAAACGGTTATTTATCTATATAATCTATACCATCTGAATGACTGAGCTTATATGAGAGATAAGACAGAGTCACAATTTCACGGTTGAACTTATCCGAGAGGCAAGACATGGCCGAAGCAAAGGATTGAGACAAACTTGCTTCGATCCTATATTCATAATCAAATTTATGTTTATGATATGGCCCGCCCTCTTGGGATGTCCCGGAATCCGGAGATAGACAAGGGGATATTTCTCCACTGACCCATGAAAACGCACCGGAGATTACAGAAGAGCAATTTCTAAGTGGAGAATCCTCGTCTAAACATCTTGCCGAAATTTCTATGGAACCAGCAGAAGTCGTAGAAGAGGAAATCCATCTTATCGATAAGATACTACAGATTCCTGAAGAAGCTCCACAGGAAAGTAATCGGTCCTTTCATCCCATATTACAACTTTAATGCTTGGCTAAAAATTAGCCTATCCAAAGAGTAAAAAGAAACTTTAACGAACAAATATCCGAGGAAAGGAGTTTGTTCTCTAGAAACACCAATTTTGAATCCAGAGGTTACTGCTTCGTCCTCTGACGCAACTTTAAAGAGAAACAAATACTTTTCCTTCACACAAATCCTGACTGGC